AAGTTGATAGACGTTCGTGAAAGGAAATCTAGAAAGTTGTGATGATGTGTGTGGTCCATCACCGATTCTGTACGTTACCGCGTACAGACTATGCGTGCGTATCTAATAGCACGGTGACCTTTATTTGAGGCAATAACTGGTGACTGGGCCGCTGCCTTGAAGTGTCCGTTGTGCAACCCATGAGGTTCAGAACCCTTGTCCTCTGGGTTCCAAGACCAGAAGTACACGTGATCAGAGGTGGTAACCTCAAGGTGTACGGGGAAGTGACCCTTGTGAAATTGGCAATGGGAAAGAAAGGCCGTAGTGGCAGGGTCGAGAAGGTCGGGCAGAGAGTAGCGGCCTTCCAATAGTGCAATGGAATTAGATTCAGCCTCAACGCCGGTGAATGCTGTATACAAGGGTTCCACCATAGGTGGAGTCGTATATGGAGCACGCGTCTGTTCGTACTGTGCCGCATTTTCTTGCATACAACCTTCTTCAAGCAGAGCACGATCAGTGATAGTACACAGCCGCGTAGTGCCATCTGGTAACTTTTCTTCAATCTGAATAGCCTGTAAACCCCCGGTAGATCCCTTTTGTTGGGCGCGCCGACGGCGTCTCGCCTCCCCTTGTTGCTTCATTTGTCGTAACCGAAGGAATCTATCGTGGGCCTTCTGGGATTTCCATTTCTTCTTCTTTGCATACTTTGTCTGAGCCGTAAGAAAGTCCCGTCTCAATTGGGTTGCCTGATGTTTGGCTTGCTTATACGCCCTGCGTTCAGCTGCCAATGCCTCTTCCAATTCATCAGTCGTCTGCTTCCACACGTTGCACAGCCTTGTCTTCTCCATCAGGCGCCGGACCTTTTGTGAGCTCACACGACATCGCTTGCGTCCTTTAAGGAGCAGCTTCCAGAGGCTCAATCGATCCCAGAAGCCCTGCAATTTTGGAGACCAAGGAACCTTGCCAGATGAGGTAGTGTGGCAATTGCCTTCAGCAAGCCGCCATACCATATACATCTGCCGACAACGAGCAATCAGAATAGCGTCGTGCTCTTCATAATCAGCTTTCATCTCATTCCCAATCTGTTGGAAACATAGATTGTGCTGTGCTTCAAGGATAGCTTTACTGTCTTTAGTACTGCGACTTTCCTCTTTGGTACAAATACCAGACTCCAATTTGTCCTTTAACGGTTTCATTGCCCTCTCTTGACGCTTGCGTCTTGTCGCAACTTGATTCTTGTTCTTATTGGCAGAACTGCCACTCCTGCTTGAAGGCCATTTTCTTGTTTTCTTTGGAACCTGAGAAAGGTTCAGCCCTGACATTGTAGCTTGCGCATACGTTTGCCCAGATCGAGTGACTTTTGCTACTTGAGGCTCTTCAGGCTCAAATACAATCTCTTCTTCTGGCGGTTCTTGTAAATCCTCCAGATCAGTAACGAGGCTCCCAATATCATCGGTTCCTCTATCAACCTTTTCTTGATGGTGATCCAAATCGGCCACAATAGGTTCTTCCTCTTCATTGCCTTCATTACCCGAATTATCGTCATCTAATTCATAGTCATCATCTCCTTGGAATCTGACAGTGAGTTCCGGCATATCATCGACATCATTGTCTGCATCTGCCAAGAGCTCAATTCTCTCTTCTTTGCATTGATGTAATGGGATTGCGAGACTGCTTTAGTCCCGGGAGACGGTTGGAACAACACGATCTGCTTCAGTAGCAAGATCTGGCAAATCTTCACTTTCACTAGCATAGTGCCAGTTGGATTGAAGTTTGACATTAGTCGTTCCAGTAGGACATGGAATGAGAAAGACATCATTGCCATTCTCATCCTTTCCCTTGATAGCATCGTGAAAGACATTTGACGTATCAAAATAGCCAGTCTTCATGACCTGCGGAGTTTGAGCTTGAGTTGCATCGAATCCTTGGCGCACTTGAGCACCACAGAAGCCTTGTTGGCTGAGTTGCATTCCACTGAACGCAATCTCATTATTAGCGTTCATTGAGTAAGGGACAGTCACAGTGCCGCCACCTTGAGTTGGAATCTGCATGAGCTGCATTCCCGAAGGAACTTGCAACATCTGATTACCTGTAGTACCAGTAAGTCGCAAAGGTGTGTTAACGC